GATCAGAACCAGATGAATAGATCAGAACCAGACGAGTGGATCAGAACAATATGAGTGGATCAGAACCAGATGAATAGATCAGAACCAGACGAGTGGATCAGAACCAGACGAGTGGATCAGAACCAAACGAGTGGTTCAGAACCAAATGAATGGATCAGAACCACGAGTGGATCAGAACCAGATAAATAGATCAGAACCAGACGAGTGGATCAGAACCAGATGAGTAGATCAGAACAATATGAGTGGATCAGAACCAAATCAGTGGATTAGAACCAGATGAATAGATCAGAACCAGACGAGTGGATCAGAACCAGATCAGTGGATTAGAACCAGATGAATAGATCAGAACCAGCTGAGTGGATCAGAACCAGCTGAGTGGATTAGAACCAGATGAATAGATCAGAACCAGATGAGTGGATTAGAACCAGATGAGTGGATCAGAACAAGATGAGTGGATCAGTACCAGATGACTGGATCTGAACCAGAAGAGTGGATCTGAACCAGATGAGTGGATCAGAACCAGAAGAGTGGATCTGAACCAGACAAGTGGATCAGTGTCAGTAATGTGATCATCTGTTTTCCCATCACAAACGTTGATGTTCTGTTGAGCCTTCCTTCAGTTCTCCAAATGCTCACCTTGACCGGTGACATCACCGCCTGTCACCATGGTAACCTCCGTGTCGTGGAGCTGATGGGGTCTGTGTGTAATTAGTGTAGTGGATCAGACTAATTAAATGCTCCATCCCTCATAGAAACAGAGGAGAGGCTGCCCTGAACCATTAAATCACTCCGTCACAACCTCTGCCTCCGTTACCCACAATTCATTTTATCACGCCGTGGCTGCAGAACTCTGAATTAAAGTTCGATAGATTTCTCTGAGCATCATAAATGTGATGAAATGTCTGTTTGTGTGAGAACATGATCTGTCTGGACGGCTCGCGTGTGGAAAGTCTAGACAAGCCTTTTAATTTAATTTCTGTATTTATCTGTTCGGGGAGCCGACAGGAAGTCGTCGGCTGATCTGGAAGCAGAGCCTCATATTCATGCTGGAACATGCCTGTAGCTCACGGGGAGTGAATAATGGGGCTCTTGGAACGCTCTGTCTCGTTCTGCAGCGTCCCTGCTCTGAATGGCTCATTTGCAGCGTTAGCGAGGGCTCGTTGGGATGAAGAGGCGCTTTAAACCGACAGGATGCTTCAGGAAGCAGGAAACAGTGGGAATTCTTAGTGTTTTTAACTGAAAATGCAACAATTAAAACAAAAACATCAAAGTTGGATGATTAAAAATACGAAAGAAAGGATTTCTTTCCATGATGGAATGCCTGTCGCCCGCCCCCTTTTAAACCAGTCTCAAACTATGATTAATTTTTTTAACGAATTTAATTTGTAGCTGTTTTTTTTTTTTTTTTTAATTGTGAAAATGGCATTATGGGTAATGTTGAGTTGGAAACAAGACTCGACTAATAGAATAGAATAGAATAGACCTTTATTGTCATTGCACCTGAGTACTAAGAAATTTAGGTTTGGCTCCCAGAGCAAAAGTACAGTGTAGTATAAAACAAAGGAATATATGTGTGTATATATATATATATATACACACACAGTATAAAAGGTAATAGTTAAAGATTTGAAACACACCAAATGTGCAACACAAGCAGGTTGATATCACACTAGTTGTCCCTTATTGCACTGATTCAGTTCTTATTACATCTTTTGTTAAGTTCAGTAACAGCTGACGGATAAAAAGCAGATTGTCCCCCCTGCACCAAAAGGTCAGTTGTTCCACCTCGTCCCTGTAGGTGGACTCATCTCCTCCCCCCAACTAATGAGCCATATCACTGTGGTGTTGTCCACAAATTTGACTATGGTGTTGCTGTGGTGAGCAGGGGTGCAGTCACGTGTGTAGAGGCCCAAAAGCAGGGGGCTCAGCACACAGCCCTGGGGGGCTCCCATGTTGAGGCTGAGTGCCATGGATGTGTGATGGCCCACTCGAACCCCCGACTGCTGTCGGACAGGAAACTGTTTACCCAAGTTTTAGCTCAAAGTCTGTAAATTACATCTACAGCCATCTATGTGTTGGTGAGGGTAGTGGCGGCCATCTTGAATTGTGTTGCACCAACGATTGACAAACGTCCAATAATTACTTTCTGAGATTTTCATGAAATCTGTCCTGTGGTTCGATAAAACAAAACGGACGCCTTCCTGTTTGTTTTGAAGACGTTGGTACGAAAGACATTGTACGTTGAATTATTTTTTATTTTTGTACGAGAAAAATAAAAATTCAATTGATGATTGAAACTTCAAGGTTAGACGCCTTAATACCAGAAGATTAATGTCACACAAAGCTGCTAACGCTCTGTGCTGCCACGCTACTGAAGGTGCCTTCGTGGATTACCGGCACCGCTCATCTCTGGTTGGAGCTGCCATCGGTGTTGTTTCGTTTTGGAGCTGGCGATGCCAAGAACCCAAGGTGAACGTTTCAAGGTTTAACTTTTCAAGCGTTTGTAAAAAGAGCTTCAAAGTTCTCCAACATGTAAACGGTGGTGCAGAACCAAAAAAAAAGAAGCCATCCAAGAGGAGTTTAGGTGTTAGACCCACCATGTTGTCATGAATAAGACCCATAGAGGTCCGTGTCCCAGTCTGGTTCTGCTCCAGCGTTGGTAAAAAATAAAAATCTCCCAGCCGCTGACCAAACGCTCGGGAACAGGAACGGATTTCATCTCAGCTACGAGCTCAGACAGGAAGTTGATGTTCAATGAGGTCAACAGTGAGGTCACTTCTCTGTACGAGACCGCCGCTGGGCGTGGACCCGTCATGTGACCCGACAGCATCGATTATTCATCAAAGCTTAGAGCAGATCAGCTGGGCAAAATCAAGCCTTTGTTTCCTTTGAAGCAGAAAAGTTAACGACAAACTGTTCAAAACTGTTTTTCTTCAAATAACTGAATCACAACCAGATAAATAACATGTAGGCTGTCATTTGGCAGAAAAAAATGTGTTTTTAAAAGAATTTTCAGCTTCTAGTTTCCCATCAGGCTGAGAGAAATTCTGGAAATCACCCAAACTGGACCTTTTACCGTCCTTTTCTCCTTTCTGAGTCGATATTCCGGTTCCCTGGTGCTGTAAACTCATTTTTCTTGCGGCGTGTTTGAACCCAAACGTGACTCGCCAGGAAGTGGGCCTGATTCAGTTCTTCTCTCGGGAGGCCCGACCCGCTCAACACTGGCCTCATTCCATTTGTCTTTCTGCACGTCTGAGCAAAACGCCCCTTAAATGTTATATCTCTGTCTGCTCGGTGTTCAGCATCCACTCTGCCGTCTTTTATACCTCGGCCAACTTTCATTTCCTTTGTTGTTGTTTTTTTTGTAGATTTGGAAAATAACTCATTCTCCGTGGAGCTGAGACTCCACTAATCCTAATTTCTTGTCCGTGTGTCTGTTTTTAGATCCGTCTCTATTAAAACTGGCCTCATTCCGCTCCGTCTCTGTGTTTTTGTCTTTAGATCCGTCTGTACGCCCGGCCCGATGCCATCTCGAGCGGCGCAGGGGACTACGCGCTTCACATCACCAAGAGGCTGCTGGGATTTTACGAGGACTACTTCAAAGTCCAGTATTCACTGCCCAAGCTAGGTAAGGCTGCTGAGTCTTTGTTTCGCTGCTGTTTCTCCGGGATCTGTTCAGTTTAAGACACGGGAGAAATTGACGCTTGAGTTGAATAAATCAATTAAAAACACTTACACCTCCGTCCTTCTGCTGGTCCACCCTGGTCCTGTTCCTGCTTTGAGGAAAAATACGAGTCAGATGAGTCTGGTTGGCAGACGTTCATTTTTCTGTCTCTGCCGTGAAGCAGAGCTGACGAGTTGAAGAGCGTTAACGTCTGTTTTGAAGAGATCGTTTTGAGCTCAGATACAGAGTCGGTGTGAGTCTGGGTGTGTGCACTGTGCACGGATTTAAAGGAAAACCATCAGCGCTACAGTAGAGAGCGGCACTAGGTCGAAGAAGACAACACAAACGTTCTGATGTCTTAACTGTAGATGAAGTTGAAACTTAAGTTTGTTTGTAAAAACTTTAGAAAGTTGAACGTTCTTTGGTAAAACTCCTAAAATGTCTGGGTTCACTTGTTCACTGACGTTTAGTGTTCGTCGTGTCCGTTTCCTTCGTGCTGTGCTGTGTGATGCACTGCTACCTAAAGTCAAAGGGTTTGCAGTCTGTAAAACACTTAGGATTAAATCTAATATATTATAAAGTTTAAACGTGCTGTTTTAGTATTTCCCTATCTAAAGATAATTCTCCAGTCCTCTGAGGTGCCCGAGTCATCCTTTAAAACTGAAGGACTTGGAGCAGTTCTCTCACGCTGATGTTGGCGACAAAATGCCAGCAGGAGTTTCTATAAGATCTCTAAACACTTGGAAGCTTTCCCATTTTCTTCAGTTGCAGGGCTTCAGGGGAATTTTAAATGTTTAAAAGTTTTGTTGGACATTTTGTTTTCATCTGAAATAATCATCTCGGTGTAACGCTAGAGCTCTGCATATAGAAACTAATTTACACTGTTGGAGCTGTGCTTGTTCACTGACAAGTTTCTGAACTTTTGACCCTAAATTTCACTGAAAGTTGCTTCTAATCAGATTTAGGAAAAAAAACAAAACAGTGAGCAACCCACAAAGAAGAAACAAAGAAGAAGTGCTCCTCTGGAGGTCCTGAGGTTGTCTACAGCCTCTGTGTTATGTACTCAACAAAATCCGTTTTACATTTGAAGACAAAGAGTGGTCGTGGTGCAGGACTTCAAGGACTTGGGGTCCACTGTCCAGGAAAATGGGGAGTGTGGTAAAGAGGAGAAGAAGAGAGTCCAGGCAGGATGGAGTGGATGGAGAAAAGTTTCAGGAGTGATTTGCAACAAAAGGGTGTCAGCAAAGGTCAAAGGAAAAGTTTACAAGACAATGGTGAGACCAGCTATGTTGTATGGTCTGGAGACAGAGACATGGACAAAAAGACAGGAGACAGAACTGGAAGTGTCAGAAATGAAGATGTTGAGGTTCTCCTTAGGAGAGACAAGGATGGAGAAGATCAGGAATGAGATCATCAGAGGTACAGCACAGGTTGAACAACTGGGAGATAAAGTTAGAGAGGACACACTGAGATGGTTTGGACATGTCCAGAGGAGGGACAGTGGTTTGGACATGTCCAGAGGAGGGACAGTGGTTTGGACATGTCCAGAGGAGGGACAGTGGTTTGGACATGTCCAGAGGAGGTACAGTGGATATATTGGTAGAAGGATGGTAGAAATGCAGCTGCCAGGAAAAAGACAAAGAGGAGATGTATGGATGCAGTTAGAGAGGACATGGAGGTGATTGGAATGAGGACAGAGGACAGAGGAGGACTCTCTGTAGGGACCCCTGAAGAAAGTACAGCTGAATGAAGTGCCAGTTTTTGGTCTACATGATACTAGATGTTATACGTCCTTCCTGTATGTGAACTCGTCACAGTTTGCTATGAGAACAAAAAGCGTGGTGTCGTCTGCAAACTGTGCTTCAGAGTGAAAACTTTAGTATTTTATTTTAAAATTTACTTCAACTAATCCCCAGTAGTTGACGCCCTTTGGAAAAAACAGCTTTAATGTTTGTGTGGCGAAGTGTAAGTGGGTTGGAACCACATTTGGCCCGGCCCCACAGGCCCCATCCTATTGGTCTGACCCACTGACTCCACCCCGTTGGGACCGCCTCGGTAACATCTTAACACGTTTGAGTAAAATTATTTAATAAAAAAGGCAAATTGAGAACTTTTTTCCTCCTCGTCTTGTTTCAAAAACACATTTAGGTTAAAGTCACAACGAGGCGTTTGAGGAACTGATATGGCAGAGGATTTTTCAGTTTTCTTCTTTGATGCAATTTTTAAGAACCAACAGCAACAAACGTTGATCCTTTTTCAAACTAAACCTTCAGACTGAGAGCAGGTTACAACTGAGGTCAATGATTTAAATAGAAATTACAGTCGGCTGCCACTTTTACTTTCATTTTGCTCTTTTTATTAAACAGTCTTATGAATAAAGTGAACAGACATTTTCCACACCAGGTTTTTAATGTTTTTATTCATGTTTACCTTCCTGTTTGTCCTGTTGGAGTCAATGAGTCATAAATCAGAGCAGTCAACGTCCATCTCGAAGGTTGTCCTATTTATTTATTTATTTCTGTTAGTTGTTTTACATTTCAGTCCTGCCAGAACCAGTTAGTCACATTAAAGCGGATTTTATTTTTTTCCGTTCCGCGTCCAAACCAGTTTATTGTGATCACTGCGTCTCCACATCACACGAGTCAGACACTTTGTCCCTGTCCTCATTCATTCATCACATTAGACAGTTCCTTTGTGTCCACACTTCCTGTTTGTGCTGCTCAGAATAGGTCTGACATTTATTCCCCCCTCCCTGACCTTTACTCTATTAGCTGCTTTATCAGGTGAACTGTCTGCTGCTCAGTGTTCTTCTACACCTGATGAACTTGGTCACCTTGATCAGAGATCCACAGACGCATCAGTGCAGTATTCTGCTTTCTGTTCCGGTCCGTTTTGGTGAAGAGGGAGCTGAGCTGCTAGGTGAAGCTCTGTTTACTGTTCGGTCGATATTCCCTCACCTCTGGTCATGAAGCAGATCCTGGATCCAGAAGGTCTAAATGAGTTTCCTCTGCAGGGTAGCTGGACTCACCCTTAGAGATTGGTGAGAAGTTCACCTCTCCAGGAGAGACTCTGAGTAGAACCGCTGCTCCTCCACATCCAGAGGAGCCAGTTGAGGAGGTTCAGACATCTGGTCAGGATGGACTCTGGACGCCTCCCTTGAGAGGTCTTCTGGGCCTGTCCAACTGGGAGGAGACCCCGGGGAAGACCCTGGACACGCTGGAGAGACTGTCCTTCAGCTGGTCTGGGAACACCTTAGAGTCATCCCAGAAGAGCTGGAAGAGGTGGCTGGACCTCCCTGCTCAAGCTGCTGCCCCGAAACCTGAGTCCAGAACTGGATGGATGGACTGATGGATGTATGGATGGACTGATGGATGGATGAATGGACAGATGAAGGGATGGGTTGATGGACTGATGGATGTATGGATGGACAGACAAATAGATGGATAGGTGGATGGATGAACAGATTAAGGGATGGGTTGATGGACTGATGGATGGATGGACGGATG